AGCCAGCTCCATTATGAAATGGTTTCCCAGTTTGGTGTGGAGGAACTGGACTGGTCTGCACAGAGCTCTGACCTTTACCCATCATACACCTTTGGGATGAACTGGAACACCAAATGCTCATCACCAAAACATCAGTGTTAGACTCAATACAAGGGTTATTCGTGTCTAAAAAATGGCACTTAGCAATCTTTTGTATGTTAATACAACATTTTAATAAATGCTGAATTTGCAATATTAATGGTTTCAGAAGAAGAGAACTTTGGAACAACAGTGATGTCAACTATTGGTCCAAAACCTGCCTTTCATGTTTTAATTTACCATACTTGCTTTTAGGGGGGTTATTTGAGTCCTTACTTATTCTGAGATGTGACACAACTACTTAGAACAACACTTCTTCAGGTGCTGCATCATACTGGATGTGAATCTCAATAGAAGTTACTATCAAACAACATTCAAACCAATCTCTGCAGAACTGAAGTCACTGATTCATATTTAAACTAGATGGTGATGATTACGCAGTGACGTCATCTGCTGGTCACACACTCCCTCACACACCTCCTCAACACACACTCTTACCTAGATACAGTAAGGCGTTCTCCTTCTTCATGATGTCGTTGATTCATATTTAATCTAGATGGAAATGATTACGCAGTGACGTCATCTGCTGCAGATGTTAAGCACTTCCTCACACACTTCTTCACAGACTTCCTCACACACTTCTTCACACACTTCCTCACACACTCCCAAAACACACTCTTACCTAGATAGAGCGAGGCGTTCTCCTTCTTCACGTTGTCGTCCAGGTAGGTTGGCCCCAGAGTGTAGATGGGCGTTGACCCCATGCCCACCAGGATCTGAGCGATGACGAACAGCGCCACGTACAGGTTGTGCTCGTTTCCCTCCTGGTCTCTGGGACAGGAAGTGATGTCGACGCCTACCCTTCCGCTACCGTTAGCGTTCATACACAGGCCCTCGTTTCCCGCGGACGAATTGACCTCCTTGATCTGGTACGGCGGGGAAATGAAGTGAGGTAACGAGAATAACGCAGCTCCGACAGCGATGAAAATCCCGCCGACCGCCAACCAGCGAGGCCTTTGACCCCGACCGCCGAAATAACTGATGAACACGACCACCACGAGGCTCCCGATGTCGAAACAGCTCACGAGGAGCCCCGATTCTGAGCTCCTGAGGCTGTATCTCTTCTCGATGGTGGTGATGACGCTGCTGAGGTATCCGGACACCATGAGCGACTGGATGAACGTCAGGTAACACATGCAGAACAGGAAGCAGCGAGAGTCCTGGAGGATTACGTTCATGTACTTCTTGCTGGGTAGACGAAACCGAGCCAGGGTTGAAGACAAAAACCCCGCCGGCGGCTTCCTTCTAGCCATGTTTTTTACTCCTTCGGATCTCCGTGTTCTCCATGTAGGAACTCGGTCGGTTCAGCGCCGACTTCCCCGACTTCTTTGTTCTGGTCGGGGACTCGGGCGGAAAAGACTCGGTTTTGGCCGGGAGTTGGATGAATTCAGCGCTCTCTTCCGCCGTTATGGACACAGAATTAGCCAGTAAGGTTTCCTCTTGAGGCCCTTCTTCATTTAAAATAGGCAAACTTTTTACACATCGATAGCCCATATCCGGCTCTTCCATCTCGCTGGAGAAGTCGTCATCCTTCTGCAGGGATTCGGACAACTCCGCTTCTTCGTGGTCAGCCATTATTTCCAGTCTTTTTTTGAGGGGTTAGAAGAATAACCAAGCCTTTCCTGCGTCTCACAGTTCAGGGGATGCTGTCCATTACATTCATTATGTATAGCTACTCCCACATGTACAGTCTGGCACACAAAGAGGCCTCCAAAAAAAAAAAGGAAAAGTAGACTCACAGCTTATCTGCAGTGCAGGCTGGACAGCAGCTGGTTATCTCGTCATGCACACTTCTGCCACCATTTAATCCGGAAGGTGGAAAACACTCAGGCCTGATCTGTTCGCCCAGCTGAGCTCCGGGTTTCTTTGCAGATGCAAAACATTTCCACTCGATGGCTTCCCTCAGCAGGACGCTTCTGCTCCGGCAGGGATGAAATGAACTTGCACAGCATCCCTGACCCCCCTGCCAATAAAGATCACACTGTTATAATAAAGCTTTTGGGAACATTAGATGATGGTGCACCCCCTTTTCCTCATAACTCCTCCCCAAGTCAAGGGCATCACTCCCCCCTCCCTACCCCTACCGATGGTACCAGCTGTCCTCCAGTTGTCATTTAGTGGCAATATTTCTGCGTAAATCCCTGGAGATGTGTGTGGAAAGAATTGAAAAATTGGTAAAAATGGTAGAGCCGTCGAGGAAAAGGCGACTGAAAGGGAGCTCGGATACTAAAGGCTGCCCAGAAACACCGCAGTGCTCAGCTGCTCTCAGTCGCTGTTTTGAAAACAACAAAAAAAGTCAAGCTGCAGAGATTAGCAAGGGAGAGTGGAAGAGGACATTTCAAAATAAAAGCCTGATTTGAGTACTCCAGCTGTGCTGTGACGTATGTAAAAAAAACCAATCTAAAACACTGATATTATACGTTTTGTGGTAAAAAGCATGTTTCTTTTAGGGTTAGAAAATATGAAATGTGCACAATGTTTGTAATGTTTATTTCACCATTACATAGTTAATATACTACAATGTCAGCATATATATTGTATTTTAACAAGTCTTACTTTTAAATAGTACACTAGGTTAATATGTTGAGCACATTGTTATTTAAGGGAGGATTATATTGTATTCTGTATATTTTATAGTGTTTAGATACTCCTCTGAATAACGACGCTGAAGTTGGCTTCCGATTCAGAGCATCCGATTCGGCAGTTAAGGGTAAAGTTAAGGGACATTTAATTTACAGCGCCGAGCGAACAATCCTCCGTGGTTGAACCTCTTAAATCGCTGCATAGCCGATTTATTTGGACTGGATTATCCCAGAGAGGCTAAAGATTCTTTATAACCCAGTTTGAGATTTGTGAAACCTTTATTCTATTTGTGAAAATACAAACAAGGGAGATTTCAGTGCTTTGTTCACATGTAGACCACATTAGACCAGGTCCTGATCTGAAACCACTAGAGCTACACTCATCACATATGGACTGGATTATCCGACGGAGGCTAAAGATTCTTTATAACCCAGTTTGAGATTTGTGAAACCTTTATTCTATTTGTGAAAACAAGAAGGCCTAAAGGCTTGCCCAGCTGGTTCACTCTCTGATCCTGATCCTGGCCTGCTGCAGCAACCTCAGCCTTCCACCTGTGTTTGTATTTTCACAAATACAATAAAGGTTTCACAAATCTCAAACTGGGTTATAAACAATCTTTAGACTCTCTGGGATAATCCAGTCCAAATAAATCGGCTATGCAGCGATTTAAGAGGTTCAAACACGGAGGATTGTTCGCTCAGCGCTGTACATTAAATGTCACTTAACTTTCCCCTTAACTGCCGAATCGGAAGCCAACTTCAGCGTCGTCTCTGAATATAGGTATTTTTACTGAGAATATTTATATATTGTTTATTTACATTTTTAATTGGTTTATCTTTATTTATTCTGTATTTGTATTCAATTGTTTGAGTCATTTTGTTATTAGTGTTTGGTAAGTGACAGTCAAAATGCTTATTTCCCAATTTGGGAAGTATCTATATATCTATGTTTATTTTGAAAAGTATAACCGGAAGTCTTCCTTCACTGCACGGCTAACGTCCAAGCTAACGGCTAACCCGCAGAGATAACGTTCACTTATGGATAAAACAGCAACAACAACAATATTGACTCATCGCTTCACTCACCTGTCTCTCCGGAGCGACCACACGGTTCTTTAAACCTTCATGTCCGAGTTAAACCATAAACTCTGGAAGGACATGCGGTTAAAAGCCGGAAAAAAAAATTCATGTCAAATAAAAACTCACCTACAAAACATCGAGTTAGACAGGAAACACCGGAAACACTTAAAAATAAAAGCACGACGGGTCTGATTTAAAGGAGGCTGAACGTTATCTCTTTTTTATTTAGGCACAGTGGTGAAAAGTAAATAAGTAGATTTACTCAAGTGCTGTACTTAAGTACAATTTTGAGATAGTTGTACATGTTATGCTACTCTGTTCTTCTACTCCACTACAGTTCAGAGGTAGATGATGTACTTTTACTCCACTACATGTATTTAATACCTTTAGCTACTTTACAGATGTGGATGAATGATGTGAAATATAATCAAGTGTTGAATCAGACTTTAGTTCCACCTGGAGTAAATTCACCAGCTACCCTGCAGTATACAAAGTCATTCAAACTAGCTGCACCTTTACCAGCTTTGAGAACACTTTAGTGATCAATCATTATAAAACATATCATATATATTATTCTGAAATGGACCAATCTGCACAACGACTACTTTTACTGTCACTACTTTCACTATATTTGATGAGAATACTTTTCTACTTTTGACCTGCAGGTCCGCTGCAACTCTGACTACTTTTAAATCCAGGCTGAAGACTTTTCTTTTTGTCGTTGCTTTTAATTGAACTATTCATATCTTAAACTGCACTTTAACTTTGATCCATGTATTTTTTCTTTTAATGTTTATTTTATTAGCTTTTCTTTTTAATGACTGATTTTAAATGCCATTTTCTTAATCTCTTTCATTTTTTGTAAAGCACTTTGAATTGCCTTGTGTTGAAAAGTGCTATATAAATAAACTTGCCTTGCCTTGCCTTTTACTTGAGTAACATTTTGAATGCAGGACTTTTACTGAATTATAGTATTCCTACACTCTGGTACTTCTACTTTTACTCAAGTACAAGATCTGAGTACTTCTACTTTTACTCAAGTACAAGATCTGAGTACTTTTACTTGTACTCAAGCACAAGATCTGAATACTCCCAACTCTAGCAGTGAGATATTTAAATAAATATACCTAAATTCAACTTAATGAGGCCTAAAGAACACTTTGTTCTAGATATGTGGTGCTAAAAAACGTGGAACAATGCTTCTAAATGTGTAATTTTATTAAGTATATCATCACCTTCACACAATTTATATTGTACATTTCACCAGGGCTGATTTCTAGGTCAGGATGTGATGAAACATCCCAGCATTCACAGCAAACTAAATCCTAACTCAAACCAAGGATAACAAGGAACATAATAGCAAGCATATATGTGAGTAAGTACAAAATAAAATCATGCAGCAAAAGTTATATTGATGTTCAAATAGAGAATTAATGTAATAAACTTCATTTGTAATGTTACATCAGTGTTAGATAAGAGGATTTGTAATGAAAGATACATCAATTGCATTTCCTTTCAAGACTTTTACAATAAACAAAACATTAAATAAGGGATCTAAATAAAAAAAGACTCCCTGAAAAGTTAAAGGCACCAAAGCACACATTAGTGTTTTATAGGGGAGAACATGCAAAGTGTGACCTCTGGTGGGGAATTTAAAATCTGCAACTAGCTCACAGTGAGCAGGATGGAAGATTAAAGTTCATTTGAAGCCACGTTGAACATTAACCCAATGAGTATAAGTATTCAAATGGAATACTGCTTCAACTCTATGCATGCTATAATACACAACCTTTTACCCAACAGGCCATTTACTTAATTACTGCATCATTATGACAAAAGATTATTTAAATGGAGTATGCTTCATGTTTTAGATGCAGAATGTAATTCAAACAGGTAATATTTAAACTCACAATCAGTTTATACAATATGTATAGAGACATGAATACAACAATAAAAGCACAGCATCTTAATGCATCAATTCAGAACCATTTAGGAGAAATTACTACTTCATTTGTACCTTTACTGCAAATAATATAGTATGTATAAAGTAGTATAGTGAATGCCTGAGTACTTTTCCAGCATTTTTCCTTGTCATTTTAAAATCTACAAATGTAAACAATGTCCAGTGCTTTAAATGTTTGGGGTTTTCTTCAGTTGTGGAAACATTTGTAGCATTTTCCTGAACAAATATTGCCGGAATGATGATTTGCAAAATCTTTAAACTAACTGCATCACAAGGGCCAACCACTCTTTGCATTTACCAAAACAACAGTTGTCTAGTATCTGAGGATTACCTCTTTTCCTCTCAATAACTTCTTAAACTCACAACATCTCAGCAGTGTTTCCAATGGGAGCATAAAGATGAAGTCCTGCATAGAGAGGCTGAGTGAAGGTGGTCTTGATTCTGAGCAGGAGGGTCATGGTTTCCTCTGAGACGCTGTAGAAAGACAGAATACCTGCACTGTGATCCAGGTAAACTCCGACCCTGGAGGACTGAGGACCTGGGATGGGAGCTTGGTGTTTCTTATGTCTGAAATCATAACGACCTTTGTAAAAACCTAATGCCCACGACTTTTCACTCTCTCCAAATTGTTCATTTACAGTGTCATTGTCTTTGTATGCTACAGCCACTGCAATTCCTCCCATACCTTTCTCCACCTCCCAGTAACAGCGTCCAGACAGACTCTCTTCACTCAGGACCTGATGATGTGTGGTGAATCTTTCTGGGTGACTAGGATAACTTTCTCCTAGCGTTGAAGTTACTTTTCGGTTCCTCTCAGATAACAACAGACGTGTGTTTGCTGTGTTTGGATCCAGAGTGATTTGATGTGAGTATTTTAAGAATCCAGCTCTGGTCTGGGGCTGTGGTTGTGACAGCAACGTGTCCACATCACCCACTGTCAGATACACCTTTGTCCATTTACCTCTCAGGACGTCCAGTAGTTTATCTCTGAATTTTGACAAAGCTGCTTTCACATCTTCAAGGTAGCTCAGAGGAAGGATGCTGGATGAGTGTGTAGATGAGGGGTAGCTTTGAATAAACTGGTTGTGATCCTCTGTGTGAGACAGCAGCTCCAGTGCAGCGTCTCTCCTCTTCAGCTCAGAGATCTCCTGCTCCAGCTTCTCCTGGAGCTCTTTGACTCGACTCACTTCTCTCTTCTGCTGGGATCTGACCTGCTGCTTCACATCAGAGCTTATTTTCTGCATGAGACGCATCAGCTCAGTGAACATCTTCTCACTGTCCTCCACTGCTTTATCAGCAGAGCCATTGACGGCCTCCACCTCCTGCTGAAGCAGCTTCACCTCCTTCTCTCCGTCCTGGATTCTCTGCTGGATGTTTAGTCGACTCCCCTCCAGCTCTCTCTGCCTCTCAGTCCTCTCTGCTGCAGCTGACACTGTGTCGTGGCCTTTGTGTTCGTCCACAGAGCAGAGATAACAGATAAACTGCTGATCAGTGCGGCAGAACATCTTCATTACCTCGTCGTGACGAGAGCAGATGTTCTCCTGGAGCTTCTTGGAGGGCTCCACCAGCTTGTGTTTTCTAAAGGCAGGAGACTCATAGTGAGGCTGGAGGTGTTTCTCACAGTAAGAGATCAAACACTGCAGACAGGACTTACAGGCTCTCAGTTTCCTCCCAGTGCAGACATCACAGGCCACATCTTCAGCTCCAGCATAGCAGAGATCAGCAGGAGCTTCTTCAAGTCCAGTCTTCTTCTGTTTCTCCACTAAATCTGCTAACATGATGCTTTTCAGCAGGACAGGCCTCGATGTGAAGCTCTTTCTACACTGAGGGCAGCTGTAGACTTCCTTCTCATCCTCTTTGTCCCAGTGGGTTTGAATACAATTCATGCAGAAACTGTGTCCACAGGAAGTAGTCGCAGGCTCCTTAAGTACATCCAGACATATCGAACAGCAAATTGCGTCCTGGTCCAGCTGAGCTCCTTCTTGCAACATTATACCTCCCTTACAGCGAGTGACAGTCTGCTGTTGATATAGCCTGCCAGCTCACTCTCTCTACAACAGTTATGATTCACCTAAATCGAAACTTAACTTCAGTGAAGGGGAGGGAACAAGATTTGCAGGAAGTAGGACGGGCTTACACGCTTAACTTCCTTCCAGAAAGAGTAACAGTTTAATAAGATACAGGGTGTGTTTAGTACTCCTTATTCGCGGAATCAAGCACATTGTGACAACAGGACTTTGTGCTGACTGAATGACGATACATCTGCCCAATAAATTAAGTTGAACAAAAGGGAAAATATTTCCCTTTGTAATGTAGTGGAGTATAAGTATAGGACAGTATAATACAAAATACTTTTTATACTATACTTTTTTTTAATAGCAAGAACTGTACTAGAGTAAATGTTCAGAGGGATCCCTCCTCTGTTGCTCTCCCTGAGGTTTCTCCCATGTTCCCCTTAAACTGTGGGTTTTCTCCGGAAGTTTTTCCTTGTAGGATGTGAGGGTCTAAGGACAGGGGGTCTAAGGACAGAGGGTGTCGTGTTTCTCATACTGATATTCTGAACAATCTGTGTTGTTGTATTTGCTGTAAAGTGTCTCTACTGTAGAATATTTTTATTATATGTACAGCACTTTGGCTCGACCAAAAATCGTTTATAAATGTGCTATATAAATAAAACTTGATTTGATTTGATTCTTAGTAACTTTTCAACTCGTATGTAATGAACAGTAAGATTAACCGTGTTTTATTTATATATAAATAATATTTTTTTATAGTAAAAGCCAGAATGAAATAAAAAAATTGATCTTAGAGAAAGATTATTCCAACAAAAGGAGCTTTGTATTTAAATGACCTGCTTCCCACTTCCTTGAAAAAAGAGGGAAAACTAAAGTGAACACATTTAAAGATCAACCTTATCCAATGAAATTGTCTTCTAGATTGAGGCTGCAGCCAATTGGTGACTTCTTAAATACAGACAAAAAGAAGATCCTTAATGCTTGCATCATTTTACAGTAAATATCATATCACACTTCCTTCATGCTGCCACTTGGAGCCACCAGTGCTCCATGTTTCCTGTAATGCAACTTCAAGTGACTTAACTGAGCCAAACACAAATCTGTATTGGTTGTAAGCAAGCAATCGTTTTTACGTTTAAAGAGCTATTTTATTATGTTAAGGTGGAAATAAACTCAGTGCATTTACTCACATTCTGTATTTAAGCAAAAATGTATATACAGTATTACAGGATGTGTTTCATTTGTTTTTATCTTTCTTGAACCAGTAAAGGGAAAAGTAATACATGTCCAGAGGATCTTGGAGCGAGGCGGCAGGGCGGAATACACCGAAGTAATTTCAAAATAAAAGTCCTCGTCTGGTCAACGTGGGGATGTATTAAGGGAACAAACTGCACTTTTTAAGTGTTTTTAACTTATCGTTAGAAGTAACAAGAGAGAGCCGTAGAGACAGTCTTTAATGTCTTCTCAGAGTCTATTTTGATAAGACTAGTTTTTCAATGTTCGGTTTTATTTTGAAAGATATTGATCCATAACTCAAACACAAACGATGTCTCTTAACAACTAGTTAGGTAGACGAGGAGGTTCAGCCTTATTTGCCTGCTGGTTGAATACTATATTCTGTAGTGCCGAGAGACGGGAGTCAGAGGCGGTGTGTCAAAAGACAAAGCTAGTCTTTTATTCAACATGCAACAGCATGTAAACAAACTCAAGCCCGGGGAAACTCACTGACCGGAAAACGGAAGTTCCTCTAAACTAAAATGTCCGTGCGGAACAATACCCCCACCCGTAGTTCCGTGGGTGAATTATGTCAACCCACCACACAAGCCCCCCCAGAATTCCCCCATATTCAAAATCCTCGCGTCGGGGAGGAAGGACCACCCGACCCCGGCGAGTAAGGACAAGAGGGTCCGAGGAGGGCGGGTCGTCCACGAGGGCGAGGGCACCCCAACAGGGGGGCGTGGGACAGGGAGGAAGGCCCCGACTTGGGGGCAGAGCCAACTCCAACAGCCTGGAAACGTCCACATGAGAAGGCTTAATCCTATCGATGGACACGGTCTCAGGTCTGTCACCAGCGTCCACCACCAGGCCATTGTCCCCGTGTCGTATGACCCTGAACGGGCCGTCGTAAGGGGGCTGTAGGGGGCCGCTGTGGGCCTCATGACTAATGAAGACAAAATCCACCGACCATAGCCCGGGGGACACCCGGATAGCGGGGTTGCTGTGATGCGATGTGGGGACGGGAGTGAATGTCCCAGCGGTCTCCAGCAGGGAGGAGCGCTGCCTGGCTGCAGACCAGGGCACAGTGGCATCCGGAATTAAATCCCCAGGGACCCGTAGCATCTGGCCATACACAAACTCCGCCGATGAGGATTGCAAGTCTTCTTTGGGGACGAAAGGATCGGTGGAAATGCTCACATAGGCCGTTAGCCTGTCGGTGATAGGTGGTGGTGTGGTGCAGCTTGACCCCCAAACCCTCGGCAACTGCCTTCCAGATCTCGGAAGTAAACTGGGGTCCCCGGTCAGTGGAGAGGTCAGATGGGGTCCCAAGGCGCGCCACCCATTTACCGATGAATTCTCGGACATGTCAGAAGATGCCGTCGAGGTGAGGGGAATAGCCTCGGGCCAGCGGGTCATCCTGTCCACCATTGTGAAGAGGTAGGTGAAGCCGTGAGAGGGGCGAAGTGGACCTACGAGGTCGACATTGACATGGTTAAACCTCCTCTCGGGAACCGCAGAAAGTTCGAAAGGGGCTCTAGTATGGCCGTGCACTTTAGCCCGTTGACAGGCCACGCATGAGTCGACCCAGGTCTTCACGTCCTTCTTAAGCCCCTGCCACACAAACTTCTACAATACCAACTTCACGGACGGTTTACCGCCGGGGTGGGAAAGGTTGTGAATCGCCTCAAAAACAGTTCGGCGCCAATTCCCAGGGACTAGCGGTCGAGACTTGCCCGTGGAGAAGTCGCACAACAACTTTGCGCCTGAGTCAACGACCGCAACCTCCTCTAGGCGTAATCCTGTGTCCGAGGCCTTGAGGGTCTGCACCCCGTGGTCAGAGGCCTGGTCCGTGCACAGCTCCGATGACCGCTCTGGAGAGGCTAAATGTTGGATGTCCGTGGTGTACTCGGATATGTACGAGAGATGGCGTTGCCGGCGGGCGGACCCCAGCTCTGTAGAATTTGAGTGACTTGTGGTCCACGAACGCCGTAAACTCACGGCCTTCTAGCAGGAACCGGAAGTGTCAAATTCCCAACCAGAGGCCAAGGAGTCCCCTGCCGAACGCACTGTACTTGCGTATATCCCAATTTGGGATATATAAAGTATCTATATATCCATCTTTATTGTTTTAAAGTACAACCGGAAGTCTTCCTTCACTGGACGGCTAACTTCCAGGCTAACCCGCAGAAAAAACTTTCACTTATGGATAAAACAGCAACAACAACAATATTGACTCATCGCTTCACTCACCTGTCTCTCCGTAGCGATCACACGGTTCTTTAAACCTTCATGTCCGAGTTAAACCTGTGACGACCCCTCCACACCGCGTGGGGTGCCGTCTGGTTGTGTGTGTGTTTTGTGTGTGATTGCAGGTTCCAGCTGCAGCTGTTTTTGATGAGGCGCACCTGCCGGATGAGCTACACCTGTTGAAACAGGATATAGGAGGAGCCCAGCCGGTTACGTTTCTCTCACTCCTCTGGGCGCCAGCTTCGGGGACCTGATGCTGGTGTTTTAGTTTGTGGTGTTTAAACTAATAAACTATATTATTCTTACCTCTTGTCTCGCCTCCCTGCTTTATGTTACAGCCCACGAGCCGGGTTGCAACAGATGGGGGCTCGTTGCTTTGGACCTGGGAAGCATGTGCAACTGGATGTCCGTTGTGGGGACGGATATTCACAGTAACCAACAATGTACTGTAGAATATCACAGTAACCAAAAAAAGAAAGAACCAACCGAAGAACCCCATTTCTTATTATTATTGTGACAGCTCAATTCCCAGTCCAGTTTGAATCGCCGAGAGGCTAAGCTTGGCTATAGGCTGTGACACGTTTTCAAAGAGAAAGTCCACACCGAAGTAATATAGTCTGACAATATTTAATAAACAAAAACGAATATCATATCAAAGCCGATTAGGATCGGTAGGGACCAGGGCCGGACTGGGACAATAAGTCAGTCCGGGAATTATACACCCAGCCAGGCCACTACCAGTTTTTTGTGCAATTTTGCTGGATTTATTCGTCAATATTTACAGCGGTGCTGCCCGTAGTGATAGGCCTCTAAATCTACTACCCAAAAATAAACATATGGAGATGGGTTACTATTTTCAAAAATGTGCAAATCTATTTAGGAACCTATGTGAACATATTTTAAGTGGGGGCGGACCTCAAATCCTATAGGGGGGTCCGGGGGTATGCTCCCCCGGTAAGATTTGTTTTTTTAAATGTTGGACTTAAATGCATCAATCTGGTGCACTTTGAGGGGGAAATAAAGAGACTACACCCATATGAAACAGAACTGTATACATTTAAATAATCATAAAATCATAAGTACATGGCCATAACCAATAACATACCATATCCAATATGAAAAACATTGAAACTTGTTTATTTATTTGTTTTTGGTTCATTTATAGTTGTGAGGGTGTCTGGGCTCCTGAATCAGCCTCTCATGTCTCCCTCATCTCCCCCCTGCTCCTCTTTGAGGCAGCAGCAAAGACGTTTAGCTCTCAACAAGTTTTAAAAGTGTATCTTACCTTTTTTCACCTAGTTAACGTTTTTATTATTATTCATGCATATTTTACTAATCACTCCCCCCCTCAAATGGAAATATGTGTTTACATAAAGGGTGACCAAACCGTTTGAGACCCACAGAGATAACACTCAGAGAGTCCTTTAGCTTACCTGAGCTGTAGTTATACTTATCAGGCTCTCAGTCTGACAGCAGAGGACTCTCCCTCCACCTTGTTGTTGAAAAAGCTCCTTATGCGCAGCTAGCTAGCACCAGATGCTAACAACAACAATACACGTAACCGGTG